ATATATATATATATATATATATATATATATATATATATATATATATATATATATATATACGAATGTGTATATATGAATGTGAAAGAAGAACCTTATTATATCATTATTACATATATTAAAAATGCTCAATAGTTACACTAGAGCTCCTTTGTTCTCCTTTGTTCTCTTTTTCCTCAAGAACAAGATATATCAAAAGGCAATGGCTTTATCTAGCTATGTTTGGGACTTGAAAAGCACATTTAATTAAAACCCTTACTTTTGCCTGGTCTATTTTGAAATCCGTTCCCCCATATTTAAATATTTCAAAAAAGTATCACTTTTGTCTAAATGAAAAACTTGCAATTATTTCTTATTCAAAACCTGATGAACTACTAAATAAATTATCTGAATTTATATCAAAGTGCCATCATAAAATCAAATATTTACTAAAAAATTACATAGCTAGCTACAAACCTAATTAACTGATAACATTCGCCAATAGTTTTTTTATTTTTTTATTATTTTTTTATTTTTTCTTAAAAATCTAAAATTATTTATAAATTAAGCATTCAACATAAGTTATTTTATTTAATTTTAAATTTTAAATATGTAAATACCAATTATTATTTTAACAGCCTAATTAAAATTAACCTAGATTATAAATTTTTATTTATCAGTTTTATAAATTAATTACTAATAAATAACTTACACTCACTGACTAATTATTTTTAAGTTTCTGTTCAAAACCTAAATAAAAACCATAATTTTCTAAACAAAATTTGTAGCAAAATTAATTTTTCTGCCACTTGCCTGATGATTAGGAAAACACGTGAAACTCTGAGTTGCAAAACTATATTATCTATATTATTCTAAACATTAGCTATATGCTAAATGTTAGTACTGTGGGTAATATATATGTATATATATATATATATATTTTTTTCCCTTTTTAAAAAATATATATATATATATATATATTTTTTTTTTTTTTTTTTTTTTTTTAAACATCTTCACTTCCAACAAGGCTGCAAGCAACCACTATAAGAGTTGGAAGTTACTGGAAGAGAAAAGACTAAATCTGTAGAGCAAGATAACGATTGACTGATGACTTAAAAGATTGCAAATTATATGAATCAGGAAAGCAAGATGAAGGAAGCGAATTCCAAAGAACTGATGTTCGAGGAAAAAAACTAGAAGAATAAGAGTTTTTGAAGTACTTAGGAACAGTCACAGAAAAAGGATGAGACTTAATTGAATGGCGAGTAACACGAGAATGAATTTTAGTAGATGGCACAAGGGACGCTAGCTCTTTAGAGCAGTGCCCATTATAGTATTTGTAGAAAAGAGAAAGAGAAGCAACATTACGACGATGTGACAAAGGTTGGAGATTGGCTGCCAGAGCAGGTCCAACTATGTTTACAATTCGTTTTTGCACCTTGTCTAAAAGAGAAAGAGCATCATTAGAAGATCCGCCCCAGATGTGGCAACAGTATTCCATACAGGGACGGATTTGAGATTTATAGAGATAGAGAATAGAATCTGGAGTAAGAAAGTGTCGAGCTCGATAAAAAGATGCAACCTTAGCAGATGCTAATTTTGCAATGGATTTGATATACGGTTTAAAAGAAAGATCAGAAGTAAGAGTTAATCCTAGAAGATGAATGGTAGATGACTCATCTAGTACATTACCATTCATAAATATAGGAAGATCTAAATTATTACGATAACAATTGGCCGAATAAAATTGAGTTTTATCTGAATTAAAGTTCACCAGCCACTGTGAGCCCCATGCTGTAGCAGAAGTGAGATCCTTTTCAAGCTCAGATACCCCCTCCAAGCAATCAGAGAGTGTAGGCTTCTTATCATGACAAGAGTAAATGGTAGTGTCGTCAGCGAATAATGCCACCTTAGATGTGAGAATATCTGGAAGATCGTTAATGTAAATTAAAAAGAGTATAGGGCCAAGGATTGAACCTTGAGGAACCCCTGAAGTTACAGGATGTGAAGAAGAGTGTTGTCCATCGAGGACAACTATTATACTACGATTGGAAAGAAAGGACTCAATAATCTTAAAGACGTTACCAGCTACACCATAAGAAGAAAGCTTATGGAGAAGACCAGCATGCCAAACTTTATCAAAAGCTTTAGAAATGTCAAGTGCGATAGCCTTAACCTCTCCACCTCTATCTAATGCACGGTAAAACCTATCGGTTATTACTGTTAGCACATCAGCTGTAGAACGAGAAGACCGAAATCCATATTGATGATCAGAAAGTAAGTTGTTTGATTCAAGATGAGAGATTAAGTGTTTGTTGATTAAAGATACAAAAACCTTGCTTATGACAGGAAGAAGACTAATGGGACGGTAGTTAGATGAATCAGATCGCTCTCCAGAATTTTTGAAAATAGGGATAACAGATGCTGCTTTCCAGCGTGATGGAAAACAAGACTCTGATAAGCACTTGTTAAATAGTTTAGAAAGTATGGATGAAAGCTCCGGAGAACACCTCTGCAAGACTAC